AGAACTGCTTTCTGAAGCCAGTTTCCAAGAAGCTCTTCAGGAAAGCATCCCTGACATTCAAGCACACGAATGGGTACCACTGTGGCTGCTGAGGTACTCGGTCATTGTGAAAAGTAGAGGAATCATCAAATCAAAAGGCTACATTTTGCAAGCCAAAAGAAGGGGTTCTTAACTACAACTTAGGGTTAATAACCTGTTGACCTGTATTTTTGTTGAATATAAAATTGAGATGTGTAAAAAATCTAGTTATGACCTATTAATAGTGTCATTGAGGCACATATTCTTAATATGTTGGATAGTATGTTGTCTGTCATGTTTTGATTACTTCTTTTGCCTCCATATCAGTCCACTCACATGAACCACTGTATTGTTTTTATTAAACAATTGTTTTCTATTTGAAATTGTCTATATAAAGAAAATACTTGGAATATATTTTTCCTTTATTTTTATGAGTATTAGAAATCAAGAAAATTTGTTGGTAGATATATTTTGGCCTAGGCATCAGGATAATGTATATACATATTTTTTATTTCCAAAAAAGTTCATTAATTCTTTTTACTCTAAAGTATAGCTAAGCAATTTAATTTCAGTTGTTAAAACTGAAATACTGGAAGATATTTTTTTCTGTCATTGATAAAATAACTATCTCTCAGTAACTGGAGTAGCTAGGATCTAGTAGTGTAAATAAAATTTATTCTTCAATACATGGATAGAAACAATTTTTTATATTTTCTTGCTTGTAATTTACCTATGATTTAACCATGTATTCTTATGCCATATTTTGTTCTATTTACAAAAACAAACCAAAGTAAATCTGAAGTCTAGTTTTCAAATTATTGTTTGAAGGCTTTATAAAAACTACCACTACCCTCTCCAGATTCTTTTTAATTCCTAATCCATCCTTGAAGTATTGCTACTCACTTGAGTTATTCAGTAAGTATTGCACACTTACACTGTGGGCTCTAGACAGAAGATGAAGCACAGAGCCACAGTCAGTTATGTGATATTTGTTTCCCATTAATAACTGACTAGGAGGGACCAAAGCCAGAAAAGTGTGAGAAAAATCTTTACTTCAGGGCCAGCGTTGTCTATTTAAACAACTTTGTTTGAGCTGTGACCTTAACTCTTGTTTTCTTTGCTGCTTAGGATTGCACCCAGGCCCTTTGCTAAAAGCACAAACTCTTACCACTTAACTACACCCCAGCCTGGTCTTAATTATCTTAAACCAGAACAATCAAAAATAATCAAAACTTTAGAGCTAGAAGAGATTATAGGTCATTGAGTATAATTCACTAGTTCAAGAAGCAGAAAACTGCAAATAAATAAACTATGGCCTTTGATATATACTAAAGGTCTCCTTAAATCTATAAATTCATAACCCAAATAACTTTCTAAATTCTTAAAAAAATCTCTTGTATCTCATTGTAAATCTCTTAACCTCTTGTATCAATTAAACCATGGATCTATATAATCTTATTTTGCTCAAATTTTCTCAACTGAAAGAAAGTAACTATGGTTCTATATCAAAAATAAATACAATATAACCTTTTCTTACATAAGGTTTTATAGTTTACTGGTTGGAAAATTTGATCATTAGAATTATGTGAAATCAAGTGATTTGCCTGCTAAAACTTATTTAGACTTTGAGCTTCTTAAAGTCTTCTAGCCTTTATATTAATCATATGTAACATTAAATATAGTTAACTTTTTAATTTAGAAATGTACAATAGATTTCACATAAGTCCTTAAATGCTTATTTTAAATCTATGCAGTGAAATGGCTGAAGTATTTTAAAGGGGAACATTAATATCACATTTATCATTTTTCAAAATCCAGAACTTACAAAGTAGATTCTCTGAAGGGTTATTTTGAAAATGGAAAAACAACTTACATTGCTAATGTATCTAAAACACAGTAGAAGCTTTTTTGTGATCTCAGACACTACTGTTGACAAAGAAGTAAGATGAAAGGTTCATTTTGTGAAGAAGATTATGTACAGAATTTTTAAATGAGTTTTTGATGTTTCATTCTACTTGAATTTCTCTTATTGAATAAGAGAAATTGAGTTTTTTAAGGCTTTATAATTTTTCAAGCTATTGTTTACAGCTGTTCTCCATGAACTGTCAGAAATTAGTGAATAATGAATACTTTCCAAATATTAATTACTTAATGTTTTAAAAGCCATAAATGAAGAATGGTAATACTATCAAATAATTGCTTAAAACTTAGAGCTAAGTTATTAATAGTGTATGACAGATATATTTTCTGGGGAGATGTGAATCTAGTAACCCAAGATAGAAAGTTATATAATTTTTCCCCAGTAAATACATAAAGAAACTGTAGTTTGTTATTATATTTCCAGAATACACTAGAGCCTTACTTAACACAGTGTACTGTAACTTGGAATTTATCCTGCATCCCACCCATCCAAGAAGCCGTAGTCACCAGAAGGACCACAGTGTCTTGTATATTTAGCTGGTGTAAATTCTGAAGACCACATTGCACCAGTACTTTACTAGAGTGTCCACTGAGGGACAGTGCTAGAACTTGAATCATAAGTAATAGCTAATAATTTTTCAGGCCTCAAAAAAGAGATCATTTGAACAGCTGTATGAAAAAGAAATAAGTTACTCTGTTTTACATGAATGGTTCAGACTTTCCTGTACCAGAGCCAAGTAATAAATAGAATTAGAATCTTAATTTTCAGTGATAAAAGGCCCAAGGTTCACTTAAGATTTTGTTTCCAGGTTTTCCACTCAGTATTTTCAACTTTTGGGTCTGTAAGCAACTGATATATTTATTGTCTTATAGGCTGACAATTCATCTTTCTGCCAAATGTACATTTAGAGAAATGTGAAGTTGTTTAAATGAAAATTTAAACCATTTGTGTCACTGTATGTTTTCATACTCAAATATACCAACTTATGATTTTGAACCTATTTCTACATCATTAACTTGTACCAATACTTACTCTTTCCCTATAAAGTTGGTGATGGGATTTGTCAGTTCAATTTTTGAAAAAAATACTACTATGACTTTCATTAATATTTTTATAGTTTTAGAATTAGAGATACATTTAGGAAGGGAAAAGTTTTAGATAATTGCTTTATGTGCCTGCAGTAGTGTACTATAAGATAGAAGATATAAAGCATTATTAGTTAAATATTTATAATAACTTTTACTTTTGCCTATATTATGAATTTAAAATAAAACGTGAGTTGTATATTTTTAAATTGAGTTGTTTCAATAGTGGGAGCATCCTAGAACATTATACTGATTTTAAACTATTTGAATTTAAACTGAGTATGATTTGAAAATAAATTATGAATAATTTTTAAATATCTAAGCCATAAATTTATTCATGCTTTATTCAATAGATTTATTGAGTGCCTACTGTGTGGTAGGTACTGTGCAAAGTGCTACAGATGGTCACAGATGAAAAACAGTCCCTATCTTCAAGGAGCATATAGTATATTTGCAGGAGAGAGGAAAAAGAAGAGCAATATTAGGGTTGCATTGGTTAATCATAGAAGTAGGGAAAATAATGGAGAGCATGTGTTAATAAGTGGGTCAAATAGCGGGATAAAGACAATAAAGGCTTCCCTAAAGAAATTAGCTTTATAGTAGGTTCAAAGGGTGAGGTGTTGTGGGCATCATGGGCCTTTGTTTGCCTCATTTGTAAAAACATTTTATTAAACAATGAAGCAGTTTATATGTAAGCTTACAACTTCAAAGAGAATACCTCCTTCAAAAGCTTGTTCTTGAAGATCAGCCTGGGCTACAAAGTGATCTCAAGGCCAGCCTGAACTGCATAGCGAGACCCTGCCTCAAAAAGACAAAAATAAATAAATAAATAAATGCAAGCTTGTTCTTAATTGGGCATGATTACACACACCTGCAATTCCAGCCACTCAGGAGGGTAAGACCCTGTCTCAGAATCTTAAAAAGGGCTGGGAATGTAGTTCAGCACTCTGTTCAGTTCTACCAAAATGACCAAAAAAAAAATTCTCACTAGAAAAGAATGGCTTTTGTTGAAACGAGAGCAGATAAAGTTGGAAATTAATATTTTATAAGAGACGAGAACTTGCCCAACTCCCCGCAAAGAGTGTATATCTGTAGGACACAGTGGATATGTACGACGGGGCCGTGTAGTTCCACTGTTGGAGAAGTCAAACAAAACCTTTAATGTGTTTTCTCGGCAATGACTAAATGTGATGTATGCTTTTGGTGTGTCTGTTGGCCCATTATCCTAAGAACATTCATGTTTTACAGTAAGCATTATTTTAATGCAGCTCTCTTTTGCCCTGTTTTTTTCCTCACTAAATACAAATACCTTCTGGTCCTCTTAAGTTTACTTTTTTCTTGTTTAACTATATTTTATTCTTTCACCAAAGGTCTTTGAGGACAGTGTTACCGTGTGGACCTTAAATGTCCCCAAAGACTCGTGCTGTTGGGAGGTGGTAGAACTTTTAGTATGTGGGACTTGTTGGAGAAAGTGAAGTCATTGGGGCATGCTTTTAAAGGGAATATTGGAACCCCAGTTTCAGTGTTTGTCTGTCTTCCTCTCTCTCCTTCCCTCCTCTCCCCCTTGTTCTGGCCACCATGAAGTGAGCCACTTTGATCTACCACATGGTCCTTGCCATCGTGTTCTGCTGCACCACAGGCCCACAGTGATGGGACCAAGTGGCCGTGGACTGTTTATCTCAGGTATTTTGTCACAGCTATGAAAAGCAGATTAACAGTGTCAGGGAATTTTCTAGGTCCCTTGTGTATGAAAAGTCTTTTATTTTGCTCTCAGTCTGAAATGATCATTTGACATTACAGAATTCTAAATTCCCTCATACTTTCATTCAACATCCTGAATCCACTGACTTCCAGCATGCACTGTACACTAAGGCTGATGAACATTTGGATTTCCTTCTCTTGCAGTAATCTGTCTTTTCTTTCTCTGGTCTCTTATTTTAGTTGGAAAGTTGAATCTATTTTAATGGTTATGAAATTATAAAAGCAAGAAAATTAAAACTGATTGCAAGGCCTTTTGTTTTGCTTTATTTTATTCTACTCTGCTCTTCTCTGCTTTGTTTTGTTTTGAGACAAGGCCTTTCTATGTAGCTCAGGCTGAGGATGAACTCTACATAGTATGGACTGCCTTTGAACTTGTGATCTTCTTGCATCAACCTCCTGAGTACAGGGATGACAGGCATGCACCATCATGCCTGGCTCTTGTAAAGCTTTCTGATAACAAAAATGTTAATCATAAAAGAAAACACTGATAAGCATAGACTTAAATTAAAATCTGCCTTTTGAAAGACTTAAAAAATGAAAATAAGTTATAAACTTGGAAGTATTTGATTTATATATGCATATTTGGTTTATATATGCACATTAGAATGAAAAATAAGTTGCACATAATCAATTTTTAAAAAACTGCTCAAAAGATGTCATGAAAATAGTGAAAAGACAACCCATAGAATGGGAGAAAATACTTGCACAAAATATCTGAACAGGTCTTATATCCAGAATACATAAAGTGATCTTACAACGTAATAAGACAAACCAGGAAAGATAGCTTCTTTAACAAATGGTGCTGGGAAAACTGATTATTCAGCTGGGCATAGTGGTGCACGCTTGTAATCCCAGCACTCGAGAGGCCGAGGCAGGAAGATTGTTGCAAGTTCAAGACCAACCTGAACTGCATAATGAGACCCTGTCTCAAAAGACAAAAAACAAAAACTGATTACTCACAAGCAGAAGAATGCATATAGACCCACCTCTTTCATCCTATACTAAAATAAAAATAAAATAAAAGTGGATCAAAAACCTAAATATTAAAACAGAAACACTGAATCTGATGGAAGGTAAAATAGGTAAAACCCTTGAAGACATAGGCATAGGCAGGGACCTGCTGAACAGAATCCCAGCTGCACAAGAAATAATGCAAACAACAAATTTTTTAATATCAAATTTAAAAGCTGCACAACAGAGAACAGCAGAATGAATAGACAGTCTACAGAATGGAAAAAATTTTGCAAGCTACTCCACAGACAGATGACTAACATCTAGAAAATATAAAGAACTCAAAAAAATTAGACCACCCCAAAATAAAAGACCCAGTCAGAAAATACGTAATTGAAATGGACACTCTTCGGCTGGGGATTTAGCTCAGCGGCAAAGCGCCTGCCTGGCAAGCACAAGGTCGTGAGTTCGGTTCCCGGTACTGGAGAAAAACCAAAAAAAAAAAAAAAATGGACACTCTTCAAAAGAAGTATAAATTGTCAATAAATATGCAAAAAAATTCAGTATTAAAGAAACGCAAATCACAATAACCCTGAGGTTCCATTTTACTCCAGAAATAATGGCTATCATGAAGAACTCAAAAAATAATAAATGTGTTTGGCTGTGGGGAAAAAAGGAAGCCTGCTACATTGTTGGGAATGTAAACTAGTATAACCAGTATGAAAAATCAGTATGGAGAATACACAGAAAACTAAAAAGTAGAAGTTGCATTTGACCCAGCTATTCTTGTGGATATCATCCCCAAAGCATTGAAGACATAGTGATAACATGCATACCCATGTTTATAGTAACACAACTCACACTTAGTCTTGCAAGTCACATTTAGAGAATATACTAAATGAAATAAACTAGACTCATAAAGTTAGGTCATTTAAGAGATGCAAATTAAAACAACACTGAGATTCCATCTCACCCCAGAAAGAATGGCTATCATCAAGAAATCATTAACAAATGCTGGAGAGGCTGTGGGGAAAAAGGAACACTTCTCCACTGTTGGTGGGAGTATAGACTGGTATAACCACTGTGGAAATCAGTGTGGAGATTCCTTATAAAACTAGGATTAGAGGTCCCATTTGACCCAGCTGTTCTCCTTCTGGGTATCTTCACAGAAGAATTAAAAGCATTGTACACAGCAATGTATGTTCACCCATGTTTATAGCAGACCAATTTGTAATAGCTAGATCTTTGAAACAGCCCAAATGCCCATCAACCAAAGAATGGATAAAAAAGATGTGGTCTTTTTATACAGTGGAGTACTACTCAACCATAAAGAATAAACTGGAGACTTTTAGGTAATGGATGCAACTTGAGACCATACTCATAAATGAAATAAACCAGACACACTTGTAAACATCATATTGTCTCCCTACTGTGACAAGCTGAAAGAATGAATAAGATCCAAAATGTACAATAGATACTGTGTGTGGTTTTTTTGTTTTGTTTTGTTTTGTTTTGAGACAGGGTCTCACTATGCAGTTCAGGCTGGGCTTGAATTCACTTTGTAGCCCAGGTGGGTCTCGAACTCACAGTCATCCTCCTGCCCCAGCCTCCCGAGTGCTGGGATTACAGGCATGCGCCAGCACACTCGGCTCTTTAAAATAAGATTAAAGAAAGTTAAATATCACATGTTTTCTCTTATATAAGAAATCTAAGCATAAAAATAAAGAGTAAAAAGATGGGAAACGGAAAGTAGAACTTTTGGAGATTGGAAGGGAATTTAGGGAGAAAAGAGGGAGAAGAGGTAAAGTAAAAAGGAGTAAAATGAGGTATTTATATGTACCAACTCCCTTTCATGTATGTATTACATATTGCAAATGTGTACTAATAAAAAACCAATAAAAAATTCATATTGCATAACCAGTATGGAAAATAACTTAGCATTTCTTATAAAGTTAAATATACATTTACATATGACTTGACCATTTCACTCCAAACATTTTTTCAAAAGAGTGAAATAAACCAGGCACACACGCTTACATACTGTATAGTGTGTCTCATTTGAGTGAGACAGCGTACAAAGAATAATAAAGATGGCTAGAAGGGGACAAGGGGAGGGATCCTTTAGAGTAGGGAAGTGGCCCAAGGGAACAATAGCGAAGGATGAGGATGAGGAGAAGGGGATACAAGTAGGATGAAGATGTGCCATGTACAAGAACCTAATAGCCTCAGCTAATTAAACATTATATGCCATAACATAAGCTAAGATTAATAAATCAACAAGAATGAGAATTGGGATAGGCAAGGGGCTAAAAAAAAAAAATGCTGTAGTATGTACATGTAACCACTTCCCAAGATGACTGTAAATTGCATGTACTCCAAACATGTACTAATAAAATAAATATTTTTTTCAAGAGAAATAACATATTCAAGAAAAGACATACAAATGTTCATAGTAGCTTTCTTCATTAAAACCTGGAAACAACCTAAACGTCTATTAACAGCTGATTGGATAAATGTGCTATACAATTGAATACTACTCAGCAACAAAAAATAATGAACCTAGTACTGTACATACAATAACATGAATGGGTCTCAGAAAAACAGCCAGACATGAAGAATACAAACTGTGTTGTTTCTTCACATGAAATTTTAAAACATAACATTGATGTCTATTAGTTAAACTGTTGCTGCATCTGGGTGAATCAGGTTCTCTCAGTCTCACCTGAAGGCCTGATTGAGAGTTACTCTGTTTCCAAGATTGCTTTGGTTGTTGGCAGGGCTTAGTTCCTCACAGGTTGTCAGACTGAGGCTTCAGCTTCTCACTGGCTGTCAGCCTCCCTCAGTTCCCTGGCACATCATCCGCTTCATAGGGCATATCACAACATGCAGCTTCCTGGGATGAATGATTTGAAAGAAATCAAAACGGAAAATAACCTTTTTAAAACCTAACCTTGGAAGTAACACCCATCATTTTTGTCAGACTGCTTTCATTGTAAGTCACTAAGAAGAGCCAGCCTTCAGGAGTTTGAAGACCAAGAGATGGGATCATTGCACCAAGAGATGGGATCATCTTTACAGGTCAGATTCAATATATGTAGAACAGATGATGGTGCTCAGCACCTTTTTACCTGTAACTACTCAGCTATCTCAGGACCAATCTGAGGCTGAAGAAAAAACACGATCTTAGAGATCATGGCAAACCTTACTGGTCTGCTAAAGGAGGGCTTAACTCACATATAACAGAAACTCTAGATACCTCAGTAGTTAGGATTTTGGAGATGGAGATGCTTTTCCAGAGATCCACATGGCTCAGTATCCACTGGATATGGGACAAAAGAAAAAATGTACTGTCATGGTTCGGGAGTTGTTGCAAGGGCAACAATACAATACAGGACACATATTTTATAGGATTATTTCTAATAGTCACCCAAAGAATCATATACAAGAGAGTGGAGGAAGTCTGTCCACAAACTAGAGACCAAAGAATCCAGCTGAGGGCCTGGATCCCATGATAATGTCCTGCATGAGTTCAGCTGAAGATTCAGAGCTCGTAACAATGCCCCTCACAAGGCCTAGAGCCCATAACAATATCTCATGCAGGCCTGCTTCACTGATCTGTGCTGGGAAGGCCCAAAGGTCAGTGGTGGAATCTAGAAAGTCTGTGCCAGTGGGATGAAGGATCTGTGCTAGCAGGCTGAGGGATGTGCACTGGAGCCAGGATGTGACACTCAAAGTAAGAACCAGAGCTCCCCCAAAAAGTACCACAACCATTCTCAGCAACAATGAGGTCCCAAGCTCCTCCAATGATCAGGACAGCCGAGTTCCCATCAGGAAAGCCAACATGACAAGCTTCTCCAGGAGACTGAGCAGTATACCATCTTCCCCTCTGGAGCAATGCTCAAAGTGAGGACCAGAGCTCCCCCAAAGTAAACCAAAGCCATTCTCAGTGACAGTAAAGTCTGGAGCTCCTTGGAGGATGAAAACAGCCAAATTTATCAGGAAAGACAGCATGACGAGCTCCTCCAGGAGAACCAACAGCTCCTTATAGCTTCTCTCAGCTTCCAACAGGCTCCCAACAGCTTCCACCAGCTCCCGAACAGCTTTACTTCTTCTCCATTTCTGCCTCTTATGCTGCTGGCAGCAATCCTCAGGTGGGCCTCCCATACCCAGCACCATGCTTACTCAATTCAACTGGGTGTATAAGTTGCCCACCAGTTGTTAATCTGCCACATGTACTGACCATTTAGGTAGATCCCAATGGAAAAATTAAATATGATGTGCTTGCTCAATAGGGACAGTCAAAAGGTAAGGTCACTTGTAGGAAATAACTTACAGTAAATACACTGACCAGGTTCCAAAAGTTACATATGCAGACAATGCAAACCTGCAAAGACACCACAAGCTATTAAGGGGATAAAAGACACTTGTAGCCTTGGAGAAATCTGTGTCACAACTTGCCACAGCCAGGCCATTTCAAGCAGCTGAAAAACTGGCTCCTGCTTAATGAACCTAATACACACCATCTCAATAAATGGCAGCTTTCAAATCTGGAGCTAGCCAGGTGTGGTGGCGCATGCCTGTAATCCCAGCACTCGGGAGGCTGAGGCAGGAGGATTGTTGCAAGTTCAAGACCAGACTGGGCTACAAAGTGAGCTCAAGGCCAGCCTGAATTACATAATGAGACCCTGTCTCAAAAAGACAAAAAAAAAAAAAATTTGAAGCTAAACAGAGGGTTATTCAGATGGGAGAAATGCAGAAATACCCAAGGGAGCCTTATGGTTCAAGATTAATAAGAAAATTTCCTGCTCCAGTCATGCATTCTAGTTAAAAGATAACTGTAAAGGAACAAGAGGGGAAGATTCCTCCTTGTATTCCAATTGAAAAAATGCAAAGCGTAATGCAATTCCATTAGACAAACATCTAGATGCTGATGGAAGAGGATTTTAGACAGTATACATAAGTGAAAATTATGCCAAACTGGCTGAAGCTGTATATATTACTGATCAGAAGGTTTGTGAAACTGGAAATGTGTCCCCAAGTAGACAGAAATATGACTCAAAAGGAGAAGGAGAAACATAAAGGAAAAGAGAAATGATCCAAAAAGCCAGGAAGATGAGGACTAGGATCAAAATCCATGTGGAAAAACAAGACTGGAAGGCACAACTGGAATTTTCGAAGGGCAGCTCCTGATAAGAGGTCACAACTCAGAGAAATAAAAATCAAGCTATTAAATCGTGGTTCTTGGTGTGGCCAATCTTCAGACTTCTAATGAAGTTCAGTATGACCAAAAGATGTTTCAACCAATTCAAGGGTCTGAACAGTGGATCTGTAGGTGGAGGTGAAATTTACATTTACAATCCAGCTTGGTGAGGTAGTAAAGATGCATCTCATGGGTATTTATAGGTCCAATAAAGATATGGACAAGGAAATGTATGATGACCTGGAAGCCAGAATGAAGTCCAACAGGTTTGTTCTCAAGAAGTAGTTTTATGGTGCAGACAGGCTGATAAGCACCAGTTCAACTTGAGGAAGATCCTTTTGGTTTGGACAAGTTTTAGAAGAAACCAAACAGCATAATGGCTCTAAAAGACCTTAGTTGCCACCTTCCCCAAGGAATATGAGCACAAAGGCAAGAGGAGGAAGTAGTAGTCACACCTCTCTTCAGTATGAGTTAACCATTATCTATCACCCTAATGATGCAATCACAGTGGAACACTTTGTAAATTGTCCTGAAAACCAAACATGGGTATCAGAACACAGGCCTACTTTTTAATTACAGGATATGAGGAAACTGAAATTTCTTCTTTGAATTACTTAGTTTTTTTTGTTTTTGTTTTTGTTTTGTTTTTGGTCTTTTTTGAGACAGGTTCTCGTTACGCAGTTCAGGCTGGCTTTGAGCTCACTTTGTAGCCCAGGCTGGCTCAAACTCACAATGATCCTGTCTCAGCCCTCTGAGTGCTGCGGTTATAGGCCTGTGCCACCATGCTTAGCTTTAGGTTTCTTTTTTAAAAAGTGGATTGTATTTGTGCTTCTCCCACCTTTTGGTAGTTATAGCATGTACTGCCCCATATGCAGAATTGAGATTATTTCCTTTTGTGTGACACTAGTAGTATTATCACAACTATAGTCACAACTGCTTATGACTAAAGTTATCCCAATGACCATGAGTAGGAAGATATTCTCATTGGACTGAGGTACCAAGTGAATGTTGTTTATATTCCTATTGTGCTGTTTCACTCTGGAGTAGGGAAAGTAAGGTTTTGCTTAGTGCAACTACTTGTTTCCAATAAAAAAACATTTAGACAAAAAAAGTGGCATAATGCAGGATGACTATGAATATTTTTAGAAGGTTCATGCACTAAGACCTTCATTTTTATGTTAATTTCTAAAAGTCCAGAGAAAGATTTAACCTTTCAATTTAAGATTTAACTAGTAACATATAGACTGCCCAGGGATAGTTCCCCTTGGACCTGAGTAATAGTACTATATCTTCATGCTGCATTTATCCAAAATTTAGTTATAATGTATTTGCTCAAAATGGACTTAGAATAAAGAAGAGGGTAGACCAGGGTGGCTAACCTATGGCATACATGCCACTGTAGGGTACGGCGACTCTTAGCATATAGTTTTAAGATAGAATAATTCTAGTCTTAATGCAAGCCTCAAAATGTGTCTTGAGAAACATCCCGGAGGGGTTGTAAAGAGTTAACTTTGCAGTCCTGACTTAGCCCTGGAATGCTTCTCCAAAGACAAAGAACACCCGGGCCTAGATAACTAACTACCTGTGACCTTGCCTGGGTTGTTTCATCCTTTTTCTGGCCCTAGATAAACATTGTAATCATAAAGGAAATGTATAGTTATCTAAAGGGGGACATATAGAACAGAGTACAGAAAGTATATATCATTGTGGTTGGGCTCATGACCAGAGCCTGACAGGGTTACGTGACACAAGGAAAACAACGTGTGGCCAGGGCTACAACATTCCAATCCGTTACCATGGAAACAAAAAAAAAGTATATAAGGTGGGAACAAAGGCAAGTCCACGCCCACTTCCCTGATTTGCAAATCTGGGATGAAGGGTGGCTAGCCTCAAATTAAACTGTTTGTTTCTAAATTGAGTCCTTCAGTTTCTTGTGGAATACAACCTGATTTCTGCCGTTACACCACAGCAAGCTATTGTACACTGAAAGCTCTAAAAGGTTCGCCATCATTGGGTTAGACCAAGAACAAAGCAGACCTGGTAGACCATCTAATACAAACCCAGAATGTATTTTTGCAAATGGACAGCAGACCTACTGGTAGACCAACTCAGTCTTCTCCTATAATGAGTAGCTGCTGACATAGTTTTTGTTTCTTCACCTTAAATTATGTTTTAGAAGTGTGGTGGTTTTTTTTTTTCTTTTTGTTTTTAACTTGAAAGAATTCATGCTTGCAAGTAAATATTACACACTGAATGATTTTCTACTATTCTCCCAAGTTTCTACACCCACCATCATCTTAATTTCACTTTTCAAGCATTTGTTCAAGTTAAAGTTGTAGAGAGTAAATTAGTGAGTACATGTAAAGCATTTAAAATAGTATCCATATTACCATTATGATTTTCGCTGTTTGCTGCTTTGGTATCCACTACTCACCTTCTATTGGTTCACTTTACTTCCTCTACATCTCTCATCTAATCTGTTTTCTCTTTTGTTCATCTTCTTACAGTCTCACTACTTAGCTCTCCTACAATTCGTTCCCTTTTTCTCCTTACCACATTTCCCAGGAGAGCTGGGAAATTTCTCTTCCATTGTTCTGATATATCACCTTCTACTAAAGGAGATTAAGATTGTCTACCAAGATATCCTCCTGTTTTCTTCTCTCCTCTTGAAAGTCTTTGCATTCACAGAAATTCAAATTCAGAAGATCCTTGCCTTAAGGGAAGGTGCACCCCTCCATCTCTGTTTTATTCAGTTCTTCTGACACAAGCTCAGGTCACAAACAGAAAATCCCCAAATAATAACTTTTTAAAAGGTATTTCAAGCTGGGTGTGGTGGCTCATGCTGTGATCCCAGCCCTGGAGAGGCTGAGGCAAGAGGATCACTTCTAGTGAGCCCAGTCTGGGCTACATAGGGAGTTCAAGGCCAGCCAAGAATGTACAACGAAACTGTCTGAAAAAACCAAAACTAAAACCAAACCAAACAAATGAAGTGATTCAGATGAAACAAATCTAGAGGTAGGCTGCTGAGGGCTGATGTTGCAGCTCTGCAAGTTGTCAGGCTGTTTTTCCACTGTTAGGCCATCTCTAAGGCACAAACTGTTGCCTGAAAACCAGCAAACATAACCCTCCACGAAGAAAAATAAATTTAGGAAGTTGGGGGGATTTCCTCTCTTTTAAAACTATATCCTTAAAACAACTCCATATATATATTCAGTTCACATATATTGACCAAAACTTGACAAACCAGACAAGGAAAACTGAAAGGAGCTATATTTAGCTGGGAGGTAGTATATCCACCAAAATATTCGTGCTGTGACTTTAATACTAATTTTCTGTCACAAAGAAGTGGAGAATAGATTTGGTAGGGCACGCTCCTTCTTTCGCCTCCAGCAATAATTTCCACTTATTTACTTCCTCAACCATTTTGCATATCTTCATTCTAGTTCTCCACACTTCATTTAAAAACAAATAAAAACAAAACTAGAACGCCTCCACATAGTTATTCTTCCTTTCCCTGTCCTACCAAAAAAAGTTATTCCTCTCCTTTACAACTTTTTCTCACATTTCTTTTCAGCTTATTCCCAATTCTGATATATCATCTGACATTTAGATTTTGTAGCTTTCTAACTAGTCAAATTCCTGGGGATATTTAACATATCTTTTATGCAAAACAAGTCGGTAAATCTTATTTGTATTTAACAAATAATACACGAATATATTGATGCTTTTTACAAATGTACAAATAATATGAAAGTCTCCGCTCACGGTTAGATCAAAACCTTTATAATCACAGAAGATGAATGGAAAGTGAGATAAATGATGCGATTTTCCACTTTGTTCAAGTAAAAAGGACAAAACCCTCTCTCTGTCAATGCGGTGTTTGGGATTCCCTTAGGGTCTCCTAGCAACAGGCTATTCTTTCTTCTGCGGCGCGGAAGGGAAGCATAAAACAGAACGGATGATCTCCACCTTGAGCCACAATAAGCCCTAAACCATCGAGCCGCGCGCGGAACAAAGGCAGCTACGAGAGTCTCGCGAGTTTTAGGATAAACTCGGCACTTTTCTGACGTATTTCCGGGGCGCCGGGGCCTACGGAAGCTGTGATAGCTACTGGGAAGCCGAAGGCCGCGAAAATGGTAGTTACCAGGTCTGCACGTTCTCAGGCTACAATACAAGTCACGTCGGCCTCCAGCCGCCAGCAAAAGGTAAGAGATTCCAAATATACCCGGTTTCTCTTCGCTGCTTCGTAATGTTCAGGTGCGTGGGGTGGCGCAGCTGTCTGGTGGAGGACGGGTGAGAGGGCCGAGCTTGCCACACGCTGCGGGATGACAGGCCCTGAGCCTAACTTGTAGTGGAAGCTGTTAAGTCCTCACCAGTTTTTTAAAGGCAATTGATAGTATGAAGAGAGCCTAAGTAGCTTGCCTTGGGTCGTTCAGCTCCTTAAGGCAAGATGCACAGCACAAGCCTTTAAACCTTAGTGTTAACGCCAGGCCTGCCTAGGAAGATCCCCCGGTCACGTGCAAGCCTCAGGTAGTGGGGCCGCAGAGGATCGCAGCCTTACCACACGGGGCGCTGGCGGTGGCCCCGCGCCAAGTCCCATTGGCATGGAGTGGACCGTGGTGACACCGCCTGCCTGGTGGCTCTCGGCCGCTGCCCCGTTCTTCGGATTCTGCAATTAAGGGAACCTAGCCGCTTCTTTTCCTCGGATATGTAAAGGCAAGAATGATGACTGAGCCCATCCCATCGGTGTGTTCCTAAGCACATCTTTGCTCAGGATTAGTATTTACTTTCTCTTTTTGGCTTCTATGTATACGTCGGAATGTTCTGTTGTTTTTTGAGAAATTCTCTTTATTTTCCTTTCTAAAGTCAGATATAATACTCTGGTTTCTTTTCAGATCATATAAATCTTTCGCCTTTTAAAGTCAGATATACATTTAGGGTAAAGAAAATCAGACCCAACACTTCGATTTTTTTGTTTTTGTAAACCATGGGTTTAGTTCTTTGTAAAAATCCTGCTTACAGGTTTTCTGTTGTGTTGTGTTGTGTTTTAAGTGTCCTCTAAGATTTCGCTACTGGAAGGACTACCTCATTTGTTTTGACCTTGTCACAGCCCTGTCTAACTTACAGTGTTTCTTTTGGCTTCCAGAGTTCTGCTGGTGGAATTCAGGCACATCCGGAAAGCAGGAAGGAATCTGGACCTGATAACCAAATTACAGCTGACTCACAGACTGCTGGGAAACAAAGTTCAATCTCTAGGATTCCTAAAACCAAAAAGAGAAAGAGCAGGACTACAGCAGGCTCACTAGCAGAGATCACTGAACCATCTACTGATGGAGAGTTTTCTGAAACAGAGTCAAATTGTTCTTCAGTGTCTGAGATCCAGGAGCCTATTCTGAGAATAACTAGGAGAAGGCAGATCATAATTGCACCCACACCAGTGTCCACTGTAAGAAAAAAGCAGAAAATAACTCAATTAAATGACTCTGTTGCTGAAGAAATTGTCTCTGAAGCAGAATCTCATGCTTCAGGTATTTCTAAAATTGTGCCTTCCCCAGAAATGACAAGAACCAGAAGTAAGGCTAAATCTCTAACAGGTCAAAGCCAAGAATCACATGCAGAAGCTGTGTCTGATGCTGAATCTTCATGCTCTGACATTTCATTCCCTGGAATTACACATAAGAGAACAACCAGGATTATGCCAAGGAAATTACAGGCACAAGCTGATAACAAATATACTAAGATTATACCAGAAAATAAAAAGGGAATCATGGATATTTCTATGAAGTCAGAGGATTCACATCCCAGACCGAGTTTGGATGAAGAGGAAAACAGAGTAATAGATGAGAGAAAGGAAAATGATAAAAGTTCTCAGTTGAAATGTCTTTCTAAACTTCAGGACACCAGCCTTCAGCAGTTTGTCTTTCAGAAGCACTCAACCCCTCAAAATAATAAAGCCACATCGGAGTCCTCAAATCTGAACTGTGAGGCTGTAATGAAATCATTAGCTCAAACTTTTGCAGTTGTAGCAGTGAACAGATGGAATGAAGAGAGAAAGAGCACCGTAAAAACAAATGACCTGACAAAGTTCAGTGGTCATGGTGGTGATGATGAAGAGTCCACGAGTAAAGTCAGTGAGGACAACAACAGTGAAAGGAGTGTAGGTCTTGAATGTGATACCAAACTAAACAAATCTGAGCTCAATCAGTCTCAGGATATAGATGATTCTGTCTTACTAGTTCTCAGCAGTGATGAAAGCCCGCAGTCTGAAAACGGTGAAAGTGAAGAGGACACTGTGTGTTTTGTTGAAAATAGTGATCAAAAAGAATCATTAAATGGAAACTCAGAAAATACATCTCATGACAATGCATTCTTTGTAATTGACACAACTCCTGGGTTGAATGCTGATAAAAATTTTTACTTGGAAGATAAGGCAAGTGAGGTTACCACTGAGGAAGGAAAAGAAGAGGAAGAGGATGAAAGCAGTGAAGAAGAACCATCAGACAGTGACAGAAATAAAGATGAGTATAGCGATGAAGATGACTTACTAAATAACACAAAGTCTAAACTGTAAGTTTTACTTCTAATTATACAAGTAAATTTGGGGAGTGGTGGAAATTAACTCGGCCTTGTGCATGCTAAGAATTCTCTACCATTAAGCTATATGCCCACCCCCAAGTGTCAAGTAGTTAATTTACCATAAAAATAGGACATGAGAAAAATACTGTTGGGTTCATTATGGACCACCTTATCTATCTAGCATTTCCCTCATCTTTGTACCTACACACTGTTTTTCACACTAGTTACAGCCAAAAGTGTTTCCCTCATCTTTGTACCTTCACACTATTTTTCACACTAGTTACAGCCAAAAGTGTTTCTTTTGGTCATATATTGGAAATCATCTGTTCAGATTTTCCCATGTGATTATTAAGAGCAATCAATATAAAAAGGGAGATGAAAATAGTCTCCTTTTTCATCAATGATAATTGTAGGGAAATTGAAAAATGTAGAAAAATAATCACATGTAATCTCAACCATCATCCATTGAGAAGCACTAATTTAGTTTCTCTTTTCCTCTGGTAAATCTGTTTTTTCTTGTCATAGGCCCTAGTGGCAAATGTTATCCAGTGGAGAGCTCTATATTTAACAGATGGCTGGGGATATAGCTCAGTGGCATAAGAGCTTGCCTGGCAAGCCTGAGGTCATGAGTTTGATTCCCGGTACAAAAAAAAAAAAATTTTTTTTTTCTTTTAACAGATGCCCAGGCTTTGTTCTAAACCAGTGAAAGCAATCAAACTCCAAGACTAGACTGAGACATACTTTTGCAAGCCACAATCTTCGTGTTAGTTGTAGTGTGTATTCAGGGCTAAGAATCCCTAGGCACTGCAATGGAATGATTTCACTTCGTCAAAGAAGTTGATTGTGCTTTAAACTCCCATTCAGTTTATATGAATAATCAGGGAAGAAAGTGACTTTAAGTGTACTTTCTTATAAATCTGATCTTTCAGTCATATAAAATAGAAATTCTCGTTATATAAACAGCTGAACGGGCTGGGGATTTAGCTCAGCGGCAAAGCGCCTGCCTGGCAAGCGCAAGGTCGTGAGTTCGGTTCCTGGTACCAGAGAAAAACCAAAAAAAAAAAAAAAAAAAACAATCGTTGTTATAAACAGCTGAACAGATGGAGCCCACACTAGGTGATTCAGATCCGGTAGGTTTAAAATGTCATTTGTCCCCCATTCCCTGCCCACCAGGACCAGGATTGAATCGGAAGCCTCACACATGCTTCAATCCTTTTTAAAAAAAAAAAAAAAAATTGAGACAGGGTCTCACTTGAAGTTTCCCAGGCTGGCCTTGAACTTTCTGTTGTCTTGTATTTTCTGTCATCTTGCCTCAGCCTCCCAAGTCCAGCAAACTTTTATCTTTTTTAAACTCTGATGAGATGGAAATTCCCTGCCATTTAAGACTCACTGGCTTGCGCGCACGCCTGTAATCCCAGCACTCGAGAGACTGAGGCAGGAGAATCATTGAGAGTGTGAGACCAGTATGGACTACAAAGTGAGCTCAAGGCCGGCCTGAACTGTATAGTGAGACCCTGTCTCAAAAAAGACCAAAAAAAAAAAAAAAAAAAAACCCCAAAAAACAAAAAGACTCATTGGCTTGAAGACACCAGCAGACCCTTAGTCACCCAGGAAAGAATTCTAAGTTGAATAACTTGGAAGTTCAAAGTAGAACTTGTTTTTGTCATTAGCATTGTTTGAGAAAATCTGGGAAATAAGTTTAAATATGTTCACCCAGAACGTTCTAGTTATATATTTATTCATGCTAGAGTTTATTCTAAATGAATATACTAGGTTTAGAATACACACTTATAGTTTTTTTGGTTTTTGTTTTCGTTTGGTTTGGGCCATTGACAGTATAAGGCAGTGATACAAACAGCCTACTGGCACATGTGCCATAGGTTTGCCACCACTGGTATAAGGAAAGAGTAAGTGATTTTTTTGAAATGCAACCTGATTTCCATTTTAATTACTTGATTTTTCTTTCTTTTTTTTTTTTTTTTTGGTGGGGAGGGTTCGCTATAGCTCAGGCTGGCTTCGTTCAGGGCAATCCTCCTGCCTCAGCCTCCACAATGCTGGGGTTGTAGACATGCTTCACCACACTTGGCTGTTAATTAGTTGATCTTTTTTTTTTTCCTTCCAGTACCGGGAATCGAACTCACGACCTTGCGCTTGCCAGGCAGGCGCTGTGCTGCTGCGCTAAATCCCCAGCCCCAATTAGTTGATCTTTTTTTTTTTTCCCTGGTACCGGGAATCAAACTCATGACCTTGCGCTTGCCAGGTAGGCACTGTGCCGCTGAGCTAAATACCCAGCCCTCAATTAGTTGATCTTTAAGTAATTATTTCTCTTTCAGTCTGAAGTTGACAAGCAGCAGTATAGACCCTGGTCTGAGTATCAAGGAATTGGGTGGTGTGTATATTAATTTCAATGCAGAAAAACTTCAGTCTAAAAAGAAAACTCTAACACAGATCAAGGAGAAAAAGAAAAATGAGGTAAGTTACATGCAGTATTTGTTTTCTAGACCTGTCACTTCTAGAAATGTTAATTCTTTGGAGAAAGAGTGAATTTCTTACGGTAAAATCACATTAACCTAAAGTGCTGTTTTTTTCTATCTCACTAGAATAATCATTTCTTAATACAGACCTGTCTGTAAAAGGTGATACTTGTAAAATAATTTTAGGTCAATATTTTTCTTCTTGTACCCACCAGTTATGAGCCTAGTGGTTCGGTTTTCTTCTCCTTTAGTGCTTAACTGTTCCAGATCCTGTTGAGACTCTGAAAGATATGAGTGCTGCCTCCTTTACCTGGAAAAAATGCAGTGTTCTTAATAGACATAAAATTGTATATAAAACTTTGGGAGGAATTATTAGGATAATTTTACCTAAACTTAAGCTGTACACAACATCTTGCATTGCTTTCTTCCAAATCGACTTTCTAACCTTCATGGCTCTTCAGCCATTTGAATCCAGGTATCTGCTCATTTTGATGTGTGTGGGCACGTAACCTCACCAATTTTTTTGTTCTCTTTCCTGCCTGAACAATCGTTTCCTTCTCTCTCCTTTTTACATTCAGTTACCAAGCCTTGAGAATGATGCCTTTACCCCTTGCTTTTTGGGCTTTTTTTTTCTCAGTGGTGGAGATTGACCAGAGGGCCTCAGTGCTTGTTAAGCAAGGGCTCAATGGCTGAGGTACATCCTAGCACTGCCTTCCCTGTAGAGCCAGCCTTCCCTGTAGAGCCAGTCACTAGCTTTTTTTTTTTTTTTTTTTTTTTGTCTTTTTGAGACAGAGTCTCGCTATGTAGTTCAGGCTGGCCTTGAGCTCACTTGGTAGTCCACGCTGGTCTTGAACTGGAAACGATCCTCTTGCCTTAGCCTCCTGAGTGCTGGAATTACAGGCGTGTGCCACCACGCCCAGCAAGTCCTAGCTCATAAAGACCTTTATTTCTCTCATTTTTAAGACCTTTGTTTCTCAACTATGCTACTCTTACTGGTTTTTCTTCCACTTTCTTTGTTCTTTAAGCTGTCCTCCATTCATCTACATTTCTAGCTTTTTTCCACATAATTTCAGGGTTTTGTGGGGTTTTTTTGGTTTTTATTTCTTTTTTTAGTATCAGAAATCGAACTCAGAACCTTGTGCTTGCCAGACAGGCTCTGTCCCACTGAGCTGTATCCCCAGACCTAGATTCCTGTTTCTTAAAACACAGATCTGATATAGTGTTCTCCTGCTCACGTCCTTCACTAGACATCTTAGAGTCTTCACGATACCTGTATACTGCTAGCTTCAACTGTCCACCAGATTTGTTTTTTGCATTGACAACTACTGTAATTCCCTGAATAGGTCCTGCTGTTTCCTAAACCAGTGTCTTAGAAAACATTATGTAGCCCCCTGTTCCTCCTCCCACCTCTTCTGTGCTTCTCTAACATCTAATATATCTCTGATTCATTAAATAGGGTTTCTCAATCTTAGCACTGATGTTTTGAGCTGCAGAATTCTTCATTATGAGAGGATGGCCTATGCAATGTAGGATATTTAGTATTATTGCTGACTTCTACTCATGAGACACTAGTAGCGTTCTCTCCTTTCTTAACAATAATCGAAACATATCTCTAGACATTATCAACTGTTCCCAATTGAGCCTAGTGTAGGACTTGACACACAGCAAGCGCTTAGTCACCTGTTACGTAAATATTGTACTCTGAATGATAAGAAAGCCTGGATTGCTATTGTACTACCCAAAAGCACTAGGCCTGAATCTGAATTGGGTGAATCTTAATTTCTGAATCAGTAGTATTGAGTGGCATTGCCAATTTAATGCTTAAGCTATATTTCTATGAACAAATATGAGAAAAAATAAGGAGTTTTACTTGGGTCTTGCCCTGAGGAAAATACTGCCTTGAAGTTCATTTTTAATCACCGTGTTATGAGAATCATCACCTCAGCCGAGTAAAAAATGAAGAGGTCATTTAGATTAACAGATTTGACTACACAAAATTTATTTTACTTTGGTACTGGGAGTCGAACTCACTACCTCATGCTTGCCAGGCAGGCAGTGTGCTGCTGAGCTAAATCCCTGGCCCAACTACACAAAATTTAAAAACACAAATTTAAAATGTTAAAAGAATTACATAAGAACCAGTTTATATTTTTACAGCTTCTACAGAAAGCTGTTATTACACCCGATTTTGAAAAAAACGATTGTGTCCCACCATATAGTGAATCAAAGCGTCAACTTCAGAAAAAACGCAGGGTAAGTACCGTGACTTTTATTATTTATAATGCATATAGGTGCTTGGCTTTATATTTTCAGAGCATATAGCATAGTTGTACAATTAAACAAGAAAGATAGATACGGATCTATATATGGTTCCAAGGAAAATCAGATATCTAATGACCATAATACAGTACATGGTTCCATAAACACATAAGTAAGAATTTTCACATTTTTATAGTCCCAGTGATGCATACAAATACAACTTTGTTTTAAAAAAAAACTTTAAAAATAGTAATAGCCAGCATACAGGTTTGCTGATATGTCCTGTCTTTTAAGTACTATGTACTAAATGCTACAAGCACTTACGTTTTGTTACAAGGAATTTATGTAGTCAACTAAAAAACTTAAGTCTTTTTAGTCTGATAAATGGGGAGAATTTAGTAAAATAAAAAAGGATTGCTTCCATGTGCCATTTCAACTAATAAGTATAAAGCTATCAAGGGAACTTGGAGGAAAGTTGATGATACCATAATAGTGTCCCTAATACTGGCACAAATAATACAAATTTCTAGACCAGTTTCTAAGACACCTAGGTAACTGGAAGTGTTAGTATTTATGTATAAGCTCCATAAGTGAAAATTCTTTTATATATTATCTCTAATATAGGCTATTTTAGGCAATAGAAACTGAAGCTATGTTAATCTTCCAGCAAGTCATCAATTACTTGCTGATAGAAGACAGATTTTGTTTTGTTAGATTTTTTGAGACAGGGTCTCACTATGTATCCTAGGCTGGCTTTGAACTCACTACATACCCCAGGCTGGCCTTGAATTTGCTGTGATCCTCCTGCCTTAGCCTCCCGAGTGCTGGGGTTATAGGCATGTACCATCACACTGGGCTCAAAATAGATTTTTAAGGTGCTTTCATTTATGAAACTAATAAAACTATGTCTAACCAGAGAAATCACTTTTTTCATTTCATAAAGATGATTCTGGAGATAAATGCTTTCTATAAAATAACTTTGTTTTCATTTCACAGGTGTTTCTGTATATATAATTTTGGAGAAAATAAATTAGGTACTAATAAAGTTAGAATGTTTATTTTTGAAATGTGAATTTCAGAAAGAACGACAAAAAACTGCAGGTGATGGTTGGTTTGGTATGAAAGCTCCAGAATTGACTGATGAACTTAAAAATGATCTCAAAGCTCTGAAGATGAGAGCAAGCATGGACCCAAAAAGATTTTACAAGAAAAATGACCGAGATGGCTTCCCTAAGTACTTCCAGGTATGAAACAAACAGAATAGTGGATATACTCTACAGATTTTAGTTTAGAAAGTAATTGCTAATCTTTCTGTTTATTTTTAAAATAGATTAATACTTAAAATGGGCACACCAAATATATGGACCATATCCACTTAGTTTATGTAATGATGAAAACAGTTGAAACAGCCACCAGCTTTTAATAGGGTACCATTAAAAATAGTACTGTAACTGTGTTTCTAGGTCAGCTTTCTAAAATTTAATAAAACTTTAAATATATGGGTATATGAATAGTAGCTTCATGGTAGAGTGCTTGCTGAGCATGCATTGGGGCCCTGAGTTCAATGCTTAGTACTGCAAAAAGAAAATAAAGGGCAAGGTTGAGCAACCATCCATGTAGGATGGAGGGGAAAGAGTGGAGTCATTTGTATCAATCCCTTTCTCTTTTCAAGGTAGAAGGGCATCTCTGAGCAAATTCTAAAGATTATTAAAAAGTTTTATTTCAGGGTATTTTCAGATGAAAATTCAGTTGATTAATCCTTCAAGTTTTCATTCTTCTTGTCTACCTTTTTTTGTCACTTACCCACATTACTCTGCTAGTCTTCAGTCTGCAAGTTTGCTTTCCCTTCTGGTCCATCTCCCATATTGTAGCCAGCTACATATTCTTTCTTTTAAAATCTGTTCAGATTATACAGTGCCTCTGCTGAGAAACTTTAGTAATTATTTATGACCTACAGGGTAGGTATGTCCCTTAATTTGGCCCTTCAAAATCTTCACCCAAACCAGATCACCAGATCAACTCTTCATTTGTCACACAGCCCTCTTAAGCTCAGTCACTTTTTTCAGAACATGCATATGCCAGCCTTTGCATTCTTCAACTTTTCATGTGCTTAGCTCCCCCCTTGTCTGCTTGAAATTTTACCTATACAAATCCCCCCTAAAATGTGATCTGTCAAATCTACCTCACCTCTTTCAGGTAGAATTGGTCACTCAGTCTTCAGAGCATTTCTAGTGTTTTTGTTCAGTACATGTTCTGTTAGACTTTAATTTTTTAAATTTTCTGTTTGTATCTTCCTTAAGACTGGGGTCCCTCAATGTCAGAGACTAGATAGATGTTCTTGGTCTTTGTTTCCCCAACACCTAGCATAGAGCCTGGTGGACAGCTGGCACTCTAAATTTTGATTGGTTGAAATGGTACAAATGCAGGGCAGTTATAAAGTAAGTTCTAAGCTGGCAGTATTAGGACACCTAGGAGATCAAATAAATATGTAATGGAATTTATGTGTACTGTATTTCATTGATTTGGAACACACACAAAAAAAGTTTACATCAGCTGTTCTGTTTCTCTTCTTTAGTTTCACTGTTTATCATGAATTTAACCGTACTGTTTAACATTGAACTATGAAAAAGAAATTTTGGATCTACTATAAACTAATGAAATATCATTAGTAGCACCAGTGTTCTAGGTGATTTGTTTATGTTTTAAAAGGGGGCAAGACTAATTTTAACACTGGTGTAACATAAGTGTGTTTTCCATTCCTTTCTGTAAATTTACTAGAGCTACACTGGAATACAGAAGTAACTTGGCATTCAGGTATCACATGACTTATTTCAATCAATTGTTCACAGATTGGAACTATTGTTGACAATCCTGCTGATTTCTACCATTCACGAATTCCCAAGAAGCAAAGGAAAAGGACTATTGTGGAAGAACTGCTGGCTGATTCTGAGTTCAGAAGGTAATGGAGTTACACTGCATTGTATAATACGTATATTTTTCTTTAAAATAGGCCCTTAAAAATTTCACATCACTAAATAATAACTTGCTGCGGATATACAACAGCACAAGCACCTGCCTGGCAAGCGCAAGGTACTGGGTTCAATTCCTGGTACCAAAAAAAAAAAGAAAACCTAAAATATTAACTCATTTTAAAATAATTCATTATCACCGGGCATGGTAGTGCACACCTGTAATTCCAGCACTTGGAAGGCTGAGGCAGGAGGATTGTTACGAGTTCAAGACAACCCTGGGCTATAAAATGAGCTCAAGGCCAGCCTGCACTGCATAGCGAGACCTTGTCACAGAAAGACGAAAATAAAATAAAATAATCCATTACCTATTAACATGAATGAACATTTTCATGAAAATAAAAGTACTGAGCTGGGAATATAGCTCAACTGCATGGTGCCTGCCTAACAAGCACAAGGTCCTGAGTTCAATTCCCAGTTAAAAAAAAAAAAAGCCGGGCGTGGTGGCACATGCCTGTAATCCGAGCACTCAGGAGGCTGAGGCAGGAGGATTGTTGGGAATTCGAGACCAGCCTGGGCTACCAAGTGAGCTCAAGGCCAGTGAGCTGCATAGCCGAGACCCTGTCTCAGAAAGACAAAAAAAAGAACAGTAGTATTAATCTCTTTAATGTCTGGCATAATTAAAGAAAATTAGAAGGCCAGCGTGAACTGCATGGTGAGACCCTGTCTCAAAAAGACAAAAGGAAGAAAAAGAAAATTAGAGGCTCATGTCTCTTTCTGCAGATAACTTACACATCATGTAGCCTGTGGGAAACTCCACTGCACACTTACGAGAGAAAGAAGATGAAAAGGGCCACTACTCCCCTATTAGTATTCTTGTGGGAATAGTTTTTATGTAACAGCTGTCTTCTAAGGGTCTTGTCCACACACTCTGCAAACCATTGGTCTATAATGTACCCCGCATTTACATCCCATATTTAATATTGCCTGACAGGGGGATATAGTACATGGGTCTTTTAAACTCCAAGCTCTGTGAGGGAAGACTAGCTGGAGTGTTCTGTGCTGTATCCTCAACTCCTAGGATGGCTCTTGACACACAGGAGCAGCTTAGTGTGTATATTATATTCATACATATGAATATATGATGTGAACATGAAAACATTTTTCAGATTTAGAACATCCTAAGGTTATATTAATTTCTAAGGACTGATGTGTTATATTTCAGACCTGAAGATTTGATTTTTCTTTTCAGATATAACCGGAGGAAGTACTTGGAGATCATGTCTGAAAAAGCAGCAAATGCAGCAGGAAAAAAATTCAGAAAGAAGAAGAAATTTCGCAATTAATATTCACCAGGCATATCCCAGTATTTTACATCTTCACTTTATTTATTTGTAAAAGATGTTTTTTGTTTCTTGTTTTTTTGTCTTTTTGAGACAGGGTCTCACTGTGTGGTTCAGGCTGGCCTTGAGTTCACTTTGTAACCCATGCTGGTCTTGAACTCGCAACGATCCCCCTGCCTCAGCCTTCTGAGTGTTGGGATTTTAGGCGGGTGCCACCACACCCAGCCTGTAAAAGATGTTTTAAAGACTAACACCATCACACAATTTAATAGAAACTGGCTCTGTTTATATAGGGATTTCTGAAAATAAAGTTGATTGACAGGGAATCAATCACAGTCAGTCCCCTTGGAATAAAAATAAGTATTCTACAAAAGACCCATTCTGGCTTAGTCTTTAAGGGGGAAAAGATTTTAAGATAATTAACATTTTTATCAGGTTTTCAGGGCTTGGTTATTTAAGGACAATTTAATTAAAAGGTATAGCATCTGCTAATACATTCAGAGAACTTACTGTGTAGTTTTATATATATGTGTATATGTACAAAAGAGTTCGTAGAGAGGCAGTGCCCTATAATTAGCTGCAAATTCAGATCCAGAAAGTTGGTGAAGACGGAATACAGAGATCTTATTTCCTGTTTATAAGTCACAACCTAAAATGAAAGAATGATAAGAGCATTCTTGGAGTAAATGTATGTTAGCATAAAACCAAAGAACTAAGTGAAGTTATAAAGGAGCCTTAAAAGATAAATTTCCCAAGAACGTTTGGGATATAGATGGAAGACGTGTCAAAAGCTATTTTCTTAGCACGAGAAAAAGGAATAATTGATCTTTCCTACATTTATTGTTTTGTTTCAAGCAAAACAAGATTGAAAAATAGCATTTTAATTTGGCCAGAAGGTGAAGTGTCCCATTTTATTTCCTCTCCAGTGGCCCAATACGCATTCTGGCTAAGTTGTTTTCTGCCACCAAGGACAGTTGGTCATTTCTGTTGCTTCTTGGTGAGTTGCAGCCTCCTTCATATCATTGTCTACTGTATTTTTATTTTTCTAGCATACTACTTTGTACTTTAGTAAATGTAAAATCTCATATTTTACTGTTTGGGGTCACAAGCAACTCTGTAAACAGAACAATAACTTTCACTGGTGAAGTTAGGGAGGCATTTATATTTTTTATAGAAAAACTAATATTATTTCAAAAATGTGTTTTGCCTTCTGTGTAATACAGAATCTTGTATGACAGAATTAAGAATTGAAACAGGAAGAAGAAATAACTTTATTTTTGTAAGCCTTGTTAGGGCTTAGATCTTAAATGATCCCAAATTGTCATACTAAACAAAATCTTGGTTTGTAGCCTGTGGTGTTATTGGGAGTTGGTGGAACCATAAAAAGAAAGGAAGTTAGGTCCCTGTCAGTGTGCCCTTGAAGGAGGTACTTGGGACCCTGCCTTGGCCACCATGATGTTCTGCCTTTCCAAAGTCCCAACATGACAGGGCTGAGCGGTCCCTGGGGCCTGAAACCTTAAGCTAAAATAAACATTCCTCTTTAAGTTGATTATTTTGTCACAGATGGAAAACTAATCAACATACCATTTAACTTGTAATAAAGCAGAAAGGCTTTAACAAATGTAAAATACCTTATTCAAGTGACAAATTATTCAACTAAAAATTCATTTAATTCAAACATTAAATGTTAATAATTTATTGTGTATGTGTAGCTTTTTTGTATCAGATTTGATGAGCTTCACAAATTATAGTATTTAAAGGTAGACTTTAAATTAAGTAAAGGTTAGAAGGTAGAAAACTTCTGTGTTTTGTTCTTCGAGTCATCCTAGCCTACCAATATCTGCATACTTCAATGTGTGATGGGGTCATGATAATCCTATTTTAAAGTGACCATACTTTAAGTTGAAGATGTATTTAATACACCTAACATACCAAATGTTACACCTTAGCCTAGCTTACCTTAAATTGTATTCCGAATACTTAAGTTAGCCTATGCCTGGACAGAGTTATCTAACACAGACTGTGTAAGTGTCAAATGTGTCGTGTAATTGAATACCTGTATCCAAACTGCTGACAAGGCAGCACATGGGTCTTACTGTTTGTTTACCCTTAGGATTGCATGGCTAGGAGTTATGGGTCACTGCCACTGCCCAGGATTAGAAGGTCACTAACCCAGGAAACAGTTAAAATTCAAAGTATGGCTCCTACTGAATGCAAATTGCTTCTCACCATTGTAAAGTTGAAGAGTTGTAAGTCAAACTATCTTAAATGAGGGACCATTCATCTTTGAATAAAGGTTGAAATTGTCTTGTTTTTCAAGCAAAGTAACTCTTGAGAAAAATTTTAGTTACTTTGTCTATGGATTTGCCTAATTTGGACATTTCATATAAGTGGAATCATACAATATGTAAGTCTTTTTTTGACTTAGCATAATATTTTCTTTTTTTTTTTTTGGTTTTTCTCCGGTACTGGGAACCGAACTCACGACCTTGCGCTTGCCAGGCAGGCGCTTTTGCCCCTGAGCTAAATCCCCAGCCCCTATAGCATAATATTTTCAAAGTTTGTTCATGAATCAATATTTCAACTCTTTTGGTTGCTGAATAATATTCCATCAAATAAATATATTACATCTTTTTTTTTTTTTCTTCCAGTACTAGGAATTGAACTCATGACCTTGCGCTTGCCAGGCAGGTGCTTTGTCACTGAGCTAAATCCCCAGCCCCATATATTACATCTTATTCATCATATGATAGACATTTTATTGTCAGCTCTTTCTACAGCTGACCATAAAAAATAATGCCACTGTGGACATTCCTATACACATTTTTGTATAGACATATTTTTTATTTTTATTGTTTTCGGTTTTTTGAGATAGGATCTCGCTGTGTAATTCAGGCTGCCCTTAACCTATGTAGCTAGGGCTGGCCTTGAACTTGCAGCAATCTTCCTGCCTCAGCCTCCTGGCTGCTGGGATTACAAGCCAGTGCCACTATGCCCAACCCTGGGCATATTTTTTTTAATTCTCATGGGTATATACCTAGAAGTGGATTGCTGGGTCATATAACTTAATGTTTAACTTTTTGAGAAATTGCCAAACTTTTCTAAAAAGGCTATGCTATTTTACATACCCATTGACAATGCATGAGGGCTTCAATCTTGTCAACATTTGTATTATCTGTCTTATGCCCCTTCCCATCATGATTTTGAACTCAGACACTTTTTAAATATTTTTTATTAAGGGCCATGAAAATATCCAGAGAGAATAATCCAGAATAAATATGATGCAATAATATTTGTCCTAATATGAATAACTTTCTTTCATTAAGTTGTTCTCCTTCACAGTGGCCTGCTGCTACCTCTTTTATTATGGGCTATAGGACTTCTGAATCAGAACTGCACCCTCTGTCTTCTCTTTTATAAATCAAATTAATTTTTAACCCACTGTTTAGAGTGACTGTGGTAGCGGGGTGTTGTGGCTCATGCCTGTAATCCCAGCACTCGGGAGGCTGAGGCAGGAGGGTTGAGCTCAAGGCCAGCCTGAACTGCATAGCAAGATCCGCCTCAAAAAGACCAAAAAAAAGACTGTGCATGGTTTGTTTTTTTGTTGCTGTTTTTTGTCTTTTTGAGATAGGGTCTCACTTTGTAGCCTAGGCTGGTCTTGAACTTCCAAGGATCCTCCTGCTTCAGCCTCCCTAGTGCTGGTATTATAGGGATGCACCACCACACCCAGCAAGTGAGTGTATCTTTTTTCTCTTTCACAAAGAACTTTTTCAGGGGCTGGGGATTTAGCTCAGTGGCAAAGTGCCTGCCTGGCAAGCGCAAGGTCATGAGTTTGGTTCCTGGTACCAGAGAAAAACCAAGAAAAAAAAAAAAAAGACAAAGAACTTTTTCATTTCACCTGGTTTTGGCAAAAGAGACCACTTTGGAAAGGAACATGGTTACTACCCTGAAATCTCTGTGCCCAGCCCAGATAAACAACTGCTTCTGGGGCATGAACTGGTTCCACTGAAAAACTATTTTAAATAGTAAGAGAATTCAATAAAATGATTGGGTATAAAATTATAATTTAAAATATCAAACGTCTTCTTATATATAAATAACAACTTATTAGGGAATGCAATGGAAGATCCAAATAAAAACCATAAAGTATCTAGAAATAAAAGTTAAGAAAGTCAAGAGCTATGTGAAGGAAATAAACACTATCATGTTGAACAAAGGGCATAGTTTTCTATCCCCTAGTGTTCTTAGGTAGTAAGTAATATCCTAATTAGCTCACTTCTTATAATAGTCTATTTTCTTTGTTTTTGTTTTTCTTCTGGTACTGGGAATCAAACTCACAACCTTGCGCTTGCCAGGCAGGCACTGTGCTGCTGAGCTAAATCCCCAGCCCCTTATAATAGTCTATAAATTACAGTCTCCAACAAAAATACCTCCAAAGATTAGAGCCCGACTAGCTGTAACTAAAGCTCATGTGAAAAGACAACGTAGAATTGTGTTTTGATCAATACATTCAACTCTTCCTAGTTTCTTATCCAGGCTTGCTGCTTATTAGCTGTATATCCTTGGACAAGTTATTTTTAAGTATCACTTTTTAAATTTTTTAAACTTTTTTATTTTTGCTTTTTTTTTTTTTTTTGTCTTTTTGAGACAGGGTCTTGCTGTGCCGCTCAGGCTGGCCTTGAGCTCACTTTGTAACCCAGGCTGGTCTTGAACTCGCAATGATCCTCCTGCCTCAGCCTCCCAAGTGCTGGGATTACAGGTGTGTGCCACCACACCTGGCCTCTGAACTTTTTTATTTTTGGTACTGTGTTTAACTTACTTATTTTTGGTGCCAGGAATCGAACTCAGGACCTTTTGCTTGCCAAGCAGGTGGTGTGTCACTGAGCTTATCCCCAGTGCTTTTTTTTTAGTACTGGAGATTGAACCTAGGGTTTCACACATGCTAGGCAAATGCTCTGCTACTGACCTACCACCTTAACCTAATCTATCTATCCATCCATCCACCCACCTACCTGTAGACTGGCCTCAAACTTGTGATCCTCCTGGCTCCACTTCCAGAGCAGCTGGTATTAAGTATATGTCATCACACCTGGCACAGTAATTATTCTTAA